TTTTTTTATCAGAAAGTTAAATACTACTTACTTAATTAAGACTTATTACTTAAGATAACACTTTGTCCCAATTTTCAATGCGCGAAGAAATACAAAGAAGCGGCTGTATCGAAACAGGCCCATCAACATTAATGATCTTAAACAATTGAAAGATGGTTTTTCTTTCTGTCTTAAAAACTGTTTTAGCTATAACGCTTTCGATGATTTATTGTCGTCTTCTTCAGGGCTGAAAGAGTTATTATAATTTCGTTAAACATGATCTCTCAAGTGGCACAAAACTTAAGGAAAACTGGAAACCCTCCAGAATCATACTGTTTCAATCTTTTTAAACTTGAGTCACATTGCCGGGTTACAGGTTGTCATGCATTAAAAACTTTTGAAAATTAAGAAACAACATTTTTGTGTCGAAACAAAGGGACGAACTACAATAACTTTACACTTAATGATGAGCTGAAGGCTCAGTTCATCGATATGATTTACTTTCACACTTCTAATGCTGATCGCAACGCAAAATTCGGAATTCGTCGAAAGTTCACCTTGTTCTTGATAATTATGTTTTATTTTTTACAAGAAATAAGTTTTATTTTACATTCCTTGGGTGTTTGGTGCCTGATTAGATTAATGATTCATTTTTGGTTTTGGTTTCTATGAAAGAATTATTTTATTTTATTATTGTAATTAGTTTGATTATTTTAAACATAATATAACAATGGAAATAAATAACTATAATAATATTCTTCCGATAATATTCGTAGTGCAGTAGATGGTATATTCAGTGCTACTGTATAACATGGAATACCTTCAGCAAATCAAACATAGTTTTTTTGGAAAGACACTGGAACACACCGATTAGTACTTTAAATTGCGCTTTTTTAATATACGAAAACTTTATGCTTACGTCGTTTTCCAAATTTGAGATTTGACATTATCGACTAGTTTTTCAAAATTACAATCTTAATTTCTTATTTACTTACTATTTACTTTACTAATATCAATCTTTAACTTTTGTTGCATAAAATATCTACAAGTAATATCAACTAAGGCGAAGAAGAATGGACTAAAATGGAGTATAACATTTTTAGAAAGAATCGCTTATCTTTATTTTAGCCGGGGAATTTGTAATGGACCGGACCTCACGGTATTAAAACTATTTGCGAAGATTGTGACTTGAGAGTGTTAACAAAACTAACATTTTCAAATATTTTGCTCAATATTTGAGCAAAATATTTCAAAAACCGCTATGTATGAACTCCGTTTTTAAAAAGAGTGACCAGCGCAACTGGACTTGCCTGAATCCCGACAGTGTTACGAAGAACCAAATTGATTTTATAATATCAAATAAAGAGGATATAATACAAGATGTCAACGTACTAAACAATTTTACCGTGGGCAGTGACCATCGCCTAGTCCGAACAAAAATTGTAATCAACACAAGAAAAGAACGAGAAATGATGATATCTGGAACACGCAAGCTTCAGTAGAATCGCATTTATGATATAGATGCCAATGAAACAATGGTTACGTCTAATCTACAACATGTTGAAAACATAAATGAAGAACACATAAACGTTGAAGATCTGAATAAACAAATTATCCATACGATACGAGAAGCCAGAAAAGAAAGCTGTAGTAAAATTAAGAAAAGGCAAGAAAAATTGAGTACGAACACATTAAATCTGATGAAGTATAGAAGGAAAGTGTTGGACAAATATATAACAAACTATACCTCTCTAAGACAGCTAAATAAAAACATCTCTAAAGCTATTAGAAAATGCATTAGAACATATAACACATCACAGGTAGAAAAAACCAATCGTTTTTTAGTAGAAGAAAATAAAAGCCTGAAGATACTCCGACTCAGACTAAATTTGGGCAAAAGAAACGCCTGGAAGTTAGCAGATAAACATGGGAACATTGTTACGAGCAGGGAGGAATTGCTTACAGTAGTGACGGATTTCTATTCAGAGCTATAATCAAACCCAGCTAAACATCAACAGCAAAATCAACAATCAACAGCAAATAGCAAAAGTCCACAACGTGGGATCGGAAGATATCCCAGAGATAACTATTGATGAGATTAAGTCAGCTATAAAAAATATGAAGAATAACAAATCGCCTGGCGATGATGACATAACTATTGAGTATATCAAGGAAGGAGGATCAAATTTGTTATATGTAATTCAAAAATTATTCAATGCTTGCCTACTAAAGGGTACAACACCTTCTCAATGGACAAATGCTGTCATCATAATTATGCACAAGAAAGGCGATGTCACAGATCTGAGGAATTATCGACC